TGCTTCAAAATTAATCAAGTCAGGTTTTTCTTTTGTTGGAGACGATGAAAGTGTCAAATTTTATCATAAAAATAAATTTGAGTGTTTGATTGGCACTGCTTTTCTTAGAGATGATTTATGGCAACTAGATTGCAGTTATATGGATGAATGCTTTAATGTTGAATGCAATGGTTCAATGAGAATGCTCATTAACGAAAAATCTTATATGCTTTGGCATAAAAGATTAGGGCATATCTCAAAAGAAAGAATTACGAAATTGATAAAGCAGGACATGTTACCAAAAAAAGAATTAAATGATTATTCTAATTGTGTGGACTGTTTTAAGGGAAAATTAACAAATGTTCAAAAAACTGGTTCTACAAGGAGTCAAAGTCTCTTAGAAATAATCCATACAGACGTTTGTGGTCCATTCCTGACTAAAATAATATGTGGAAATTCTTATTTTGTCACCATTATTGATGACTTTTCTAGATACTCTTACGTTTATTTAACATCTGAAAAATCTGCTATGTTAGAATGTTTTAAAAATTTTCAAAATGAAGTTGAAAAACAGCTTGATAAACATATTAAGGTTGTGCGATCCAATAGGGGTAGTGAGTATTTTGGTAGGTACACTGAAGCTGGATTCTTCCTCCATAGCGGATTTCCACAGAATATGATTTTGGTGATGTGAGTGATCTAATTACATTTAATCAAGCTATGAACAGTGAGCAGTATGCATTGTGGAAATTCGCTATGGAGGAAGAACTTAAGTCTATGCAAAAGAATTCAGTTTAGACACTAGTTGAAAGAACTTTAGACATCAAGCCCATTGGATGTAAGTGGGTCTTTAAAACCAAGTGAGATTCTCAAGGAAGAGTTGAAAGGCACAAAGCAAGACTCGTGGCAAAGGGTTTTACTCAAAGAGAAGGTATCGACTACACTAATACCTTTTCTCTAGTTTCTTCCAAGGATTTTATGAGAGTCATTATGGTTCTTACTGCCTACTTTGATCTTGAACTTCACCAAATGGACGTCAAGACCCCTTTTTTTTAATGGGGATTTAGATGAAAATATCTACATGCAACAACCTCCAGGATTTGTTGAAAGGGGGAAGAATCTATGGTTTGTAAGCTCAACAAATCAATTTATGGTCTGAAACAAGCTTCCAAACAATGGTTTATCAAATTTGATCAGATCGTTACATCTTTTGGCTTTGTGGAAAGCAAGCTAGATGATTGTGTTTATCTCAAAGTCAGTGGTTCTAAATTCATCTTTCTTGTACTTTATGTTGATGATATCTTATTGGCAAGTTCAGATTTGCAATTACTGATAAATACCAAGAAGATGTTGTCTAGTAGCTTCGAAATGAAGGACTTAGGGGAAGCTCATTTTGTCTTGGGAATCGAAATAACCAGAGACAGAACAAGATGGCTCCTGGGATTATTACAAAAGAATTACATTGGTAGAATTCTCAAGAGGTTTAACATGGAGAAATGTTCAAATGGTGAGTTGCCCATAGAAAAAGGAGATAAACTAAACAAGGATCAATGTCCTGCAAATGATCTGGAGAAGGAAAAGATGAAAGATAAATTGTATGCGTCACTTGTGTGATGCCTAATGTATGCTCAAGTTTGTACCTTATCGGACTTGGCATTTGCTGTTAGCGTACTTGGCAGATTTCAATCAAATCCTGGAGAGCCTTATTGGATAGCTGCTAAAAAGGTGCTCAAGTATCTGAAAAGAACAAAGGCCTACATGTTGGTGTATAGTGAAGCGGAAAATCTTGAAATGGCTGCATACTCGGACTCGAATCCGGATCTTGCTGGCTATACAGATGATAGAAAATCAACCAATGGCTTTACTTTTCTTTTGGGGAGGAGCAGTTTCTTGGAAAAGTGCTAAGCAAGGATGTGTTGCTACTTCGACAATGCAAGTAGAGTTCATTGCTTGTCATGAAACATCTAAAAAAGCATTTTGGCTAAGAAATCTTGTGACTGCTAGGAAGGTTGTTGATTCAATTCAAAAGCCTTTGAAGATTTATTGTGACAACAAGGCAGCTGTGTTCTTTTCGAAGAACAATAAGAAAACCTCAGCTGCAAGGTTGATGGATACAAAGTATTTGTCGCTAAGAGATGAAGTGAGGAACGGGATTGTTGAAGTTGAGCACATTGACACTCATTCAATGGTGGTCGATCCATTAACAAAGCCTTTGCCTGTGGGAGTATTCAAGAATCATGTGGGAGTTGTTGAATCTTTTAATGATCTTCATTAGTGGGAGTAAGTTATTATTTTTTATTTACATCTGATAAACTTATCTTGTCCACTTCTTTGTTGATATCCTCTCAATTATGTTTCATGTTGTGATTCAATGTTTGATTATTCTGTAAAGAGCTATATTGGTTGATACTGTAATAAACAAGTTTGTTTTTAAGTAAACTTGAAGTCTGGACCAATTATGTGGGAGTATTAAGATATGACACTTCCAATACTACATTATTTCGCATATAGCTTTGTGATTAGTTGAGTTAAGCTTCGGTGATTATAGAGTAATGATGCAGCTGATATGCATCAACATTTCTATAGTTCTGGGTTTGATTTAGTTGATTACATTTATGTTTAAGTTGATAATCTTGTTATATAAACTCAGTGATCACTATTAACTTAATTTTATATAGTTCAATACTATGTGATTATGTATACTCAAGTGGGAGAATGTAAGAATTTGAGTAGACATATCATTATTTTGATATAAGTGTATTGATTAAGTTAATAGAGTTTTGTAACGGTAGGTTATATGAAACATTCAAAACAATAATGTAGTGGACTTATTGCAGTTAATTAAAACAGGCCCCACGTGTCTGAGTTTCAGTGCTTCTCTCAACATTTGGAAGAAGTCGGCTTTCAAGCATCAATGGCAGATTCTTCGCTGTTCATTTTCTTCAATGGACATTTATTTACTCATCTATGTTGATGACATTCTTGTCACAGGTAATAATCCATCTCAAGTCTCCACATTGATTCAACAATTGGGACAAAAATTTTCCATGAAGGACCTTGGGGTCTTACGTTATTTTTTGGGAATGGAAATTACGAGAACACTGATGGCCATGTATTTAACACAATCAAAATATATCCTGGACCTACTCAAACGTACTCAGATGGCTAATGCCAAACCATTGGCTACTCCCGCCTTCCCTGGACGCAAGCTTAGTATGTATGAGGGTGAACCCTTGGATGATGGAACAAATTTTCGAAGCGTTGTTGGGGCTCTCCAATACCTCTTATTCAGACGGCCTGACGTTGCTTTAGCTGTAAATCAAGTTTGTTAGTATATGCATTCACCCACCACTACACATTGGGCTGCAGTCAAGCGTATTCTTCGCTATTTGAAAGCCACTCATGATCGCGGTATAGTTTATAAACCCAGTTCATTGTCCTTAACAACCTTTGCAGATGTTAACTATGCTGGTGACCCAGATGATCGTCGGTCCACTGGTGGTCATTGCATTTTTCTAGGGGATAACTTAATCTCTTGGAGTTCTAAAAAACCAAGAGGTGTGTCTCGCTCAAGTACAGAGGCTGAGTATTGACAAATGGCCTATACCTTCGCCACTTTATCTTGGTTCAGACACATATTCCGTGAACTTCATCTTCCTCTCAATCCACCAAGATTGTGGTATGATAATGTCAGTGCACTGGCAGTAGCTTCCAATCCAATTTATCAGGCTTGTATGCGTCATGTGGAAGTTGATTATCATTATGTTAGAGAAAAAGTCATTCGAAATGAACTTGTTGTGGGATATGTTTCATCCGCTGACCAAATCGCAGATCTCTTAACAAAGGGCTATCTCATTTCCAAGCTTCTTGTTCATCAACACCCACTCAGCTTGCGGAGGCGTGATAAACCAAATATTCAGGATCTTTCTCCACGTCAGCAATGCATGGTAAAGGACTCTCCAAGTCAGCTACACAAGTTGGATACTCTTCAAACTCTTCAACAGATAGAAAGGGATCCCAATCCTTCCTTATCTAAAACTCCTGTGTAACTTAGTTTTGAATTTCAAATGTAATCAGATGATATGTTTATACTGTAACCAACCTTATCTTGTAATCTCTATACAATGAAGTCCATACCTCACTCATAATTAATTGAGTTGAGTTTATGCAATCAGTATTTACAACCCTAGCTTAAATTCTTTCAGTTTTGTTTTAAGCTTTGATGATTTATTGAAAATGAAATGGAAGAGAAAGTGAATCAGATGTTGCATCCTGATAGCATGTTTATGAAAGCATGGATGCCAAAATTATATTATTGGTATTTGGATTAATCAGAGGTATTATACACGAAAGTATGTAGTTAAGTGCATTGTTTTATTTTATTTTATTTTTTTTTTCCTGAAATGACCAGGTTAAGAGGGGAATGCAAGCAAATTAGTTTTACGATGATGCTGAATTTAAAGTGTGCTTCAAAAGTTAACATCTTACAACATTCAGCGGTCTAAAGGTTAGCAAAAACGTAAAAAATCTCAAGTTTATATGGTTCCTTGCGTGTTGGTAATCGCAGACAAATGAGGTTAATCCTTGAAAGTTACTGTGTTACAGTGAATTCAAGCTATGCATAAATGACTTTCCAGTTGCAACATTGTCTTTTCATGCCTTATGGGTGCTCGGGTACATAGATCAAAGCATAAAGGTTATCCCTAGTTATGGTTTACTGAAGCTGTCCGACTACTCTCAGGACTATTTTTGTTTTTCGAAATGAAAAATGACTCCCGAGCACTCTGTGAGTCTGTTGTCTGCAAAGTTTCATCCTGTTTTCTCATTTATGTAGAGTTATGCACTAAGCAGATGGATGGTATGCATGATAGAACTAAGTTGTTATTGATTTTGTATCATCTTTATATTTACAAGACATAACTAATGCACCTGACGTGTTGAAATTTTAGTCTTGGCCTCCTCTCTAGTTTTAGCGGTTCATTTTCCTTTAGAAGCAGCCTATAAACGTACAATTAGTCATAGAACTGAAAACCTCATGCATATCATTCATGATGACACAAACACTTACAGACAGTGAAGCTTGCGGTGAAAATCACCATGCTGCTTATTAGTTTTATTACATAAACTAAATGTAAGGTTTGATCAGTTTTCTGATCACTAAAGTACGTATCACTCACTCGACTTTAGATGGTGCTCAAAAAGGAAATTGGATTGGGAGGGATTGGGATGTCTACAGTTCCTTCAAGCATGAGTAAAACCTTCTTCGTAGAAGGACGCAACGACGGTTCATCCTGGATGCACCAAAGTCCAACTTTAAGCATCCTTTCAAATTGCCTTGTGTTGACCTCTTCTTCACCCACTAGTTTTCCAAGCTCGCCCGTCTCGAAACAATGGTAGGCTAATTCATCCAAAATAGCCTCCTCGTCGGGAAGACTCCAATCCACATTCCTTCGACAACATATGATCTCCAACAACACAACTCCGAAGCTGTAAACATCAGCTTTAACTGTTATTGGCATTTTCCTATGCCACTCTGGTGCAACATATCCCCTGGTTCCTCTGAATCCAGTTGTGGTTCTAGTTTGGTCTGCCTTAAGCAGCTTTGCCAATCCAAAGTCGGATATTTTCGGGCACATGTACTCATCCATCAGAATATTTTGGGGCTTTATGTCACAATGAATAATCTGCGTATCACACTCTTCGTGGAGGTAAAGAAATCCTCGCGCTATGTTGCGAGCAATTCTCATTCTTTCTTCCCAAGAAGGCTTCCCATCAGGCGTAAAGAGTACATCTGCAAGTGAGCCATTGCTCATGTACTCGTATACCAAAAGCCTTTTTGGTCCATCAAGACAGTACCCAAGCAGACGGACTAAATTCTTGTGATGGGTTTTCCCAATGACTTTCAGTTCAGTCTGAAATTCTTTTTCGCTTTCAGCTGCAACTTTCTCTAGTCGTTTGACAGCAACTCGCTTTTGGCTAGCCAAGATCACTCCTTTATAAACTATTCCCGACGCGCCTCTACCAACCTCTTCTGTAAAATTGTTGGTAATCTTCTCTAACTCTTCATAAGTATATGGTCGTAGAGAGATGTCCTCATTCAATTCAGAGTCAAGAATGGGAATATCCACTCTTCCATATGACCACGAATTATGTTTGCAAAACGCAACTACAGAAATCGCCACCAAAATAGATCCGAAAACAGTAAGTGAGAGACCAATAATCAGGATGTCAGTTCTACCTTTTCTTTTGCTTCTTTTTTCTGTGTCTGGAGTAGTTGTAGATGTAGCTACCTTGATGAGAGCTACGTTTGAAGCACCATCATCTCTTCTTCCATATCTCAAAGGAAGCTTCTGCTTTCTGCAGCTTGTACCATTGAAAATCGCGGCTTCACAATTACAGTCCTCCAAACAGGCTCGTTTGCAAGCTTCTCTGTCTGATAATGGCAAATCCACATACGAACTGTCTTCCCATATTGTGCTTTGCACTTCTTCCATGGTGTACGGGAAAGTTTCGTTTTTGTATTCGCAAACATCTGCAACTATCCTCCTACAGCCTGAAGTCTTATTTCCCAGGTTGGCAGATACGAATCCAGGAAGACATTTACACTCCACGTCAAGATCCATTGAGACACAATAACTATTTAATCCGCATATGCCTTTAGGGTCACACTTATCCTTGGAAGATTCCCACACAATTGACTTGCTCCCGTTGTCATTCAAATCATGCGAATACAATCGAAATATTCCATCCGCATCAATTCTCATAAGATAAATTGTTGCTTGATCAGCAGGAAGACCTCCATCTGTTATATTCTTGATATTCGAACTGGTATCATTTAGCAAGTAGAGATGGCCATCAGCACCAAAATTAAGTGTCACGTTCTTTCCTCTCCCATACGTACCAGATGCATAATAGGCATATGCAGGTGCGTCTGGAGTATTTACAGGGTATTGGACAAGGTTTCCATCGGCTTGCATTTTGAGGCGGAAAATGCCAGTTGAAGGATCAGATTCTGATTTAGCAGAGAACATCTCGCCCCCAGCAAACAGGCGCTGGCCCGGCAAAAGGGTGTCAGTTGGGTGCTCAAAACTTTGCCATACTATGTCTTGACGGGCATTGTATATCACAAAATTGCCCGAATCAAGCATGGAAGCCGAAGAACCAGAGGTATACTCTATCACGAAACTTTTTCCTTGTGTTGATTTCAAGGAAAACCCATCACTTGTGAAGTCCAAAGTAACATTGCCGGAGAGTGGAGGGTCGTCTCGGTTTGCAGTCCACACTATAGTTGTTTGGGGGATTCCAGCAAGAAATATCCCCACAGCATAGCCATTTCCTTGCTTGTAAAATCCAAAGGCGTATACACCAGAACGTGACAACCACGAGGAGTTGGTAGTTGGTGTTAAGGAAGATCCGCGGCCGATATTCGACTGCATTTGTTGTGCTTGAGCAACAACAAATGCCATGGCAAGAACAAAGAAAACCATAACAGGCATTGAATAAGATCTGATCAACGTGAGTTGAGAAAATTGTGGTTGCGGTATGAAGTTTCCCATTTTTGAGTTGCTTTAATATTAGAAAGATCAATGCTTGAAATGATTGATCTGTAGAAGTCAGTTTTTACTAATGGAATTTTACCCGCCAAGTCAAGTCGTTTCGTTTGGAGTACTCCCAGACTTTTCCAAGCTCCCCGTCTTATAGAAGGATCTTCAACTGGGGCCCTAGAGAGTAAATTTCACGGAGTAAATTTAACTGTTGCAAGAAAAATTAGTAGTAATACTGTAGAAAATGTGGGCAACAATCAAGTTGATTCTAAGCTACGGTGTGCTTCTTCGTGTGAATTACAAAGCGTAATTAGCGCACATAATCGAGAATCGAGTTGAGGTACCAAGTTTTTGTTGGGAAAAAACCTTTTAAAAAGGTCTAAATTTTGAATTTTGGTTGACAAAATTTAGACTTTAGCATCTATGCATGGAAGTTAGTCTAGCGGTTTTCTCTACATTTATTAGTCAGAGGTTTTCATGTTTAATTTATGTTCATAACAAGTTCGATACCAAATTATTATACTAACTAGAAATTAGACCCGCACGTTGCCTCAAAAACCAGCTGTTTCAGGCATAAATAAAACACATTTAAGTCGAATAAATTCAACACATTATGAACAAACAAAGGGATACATGAGTGAAAGAAATCGATAAGATAAGCAATTTCGCTTTCATATAGATTCAAGTGAGTTTGGCAGATAAACACATTGTACAATGAGTGGGAAGAAACTGAACGTCTTTGATTAGAAAGAGATGGTTTCCTAAAAAGTTTTGTTTCCTTAAGAAACAAAAGAAATATAAGCAACATGCAGTTCACACACATTTTGCCCTTGTAGTTAAGGTGGCAAAACATGTGTCCTACAGGGCAGACACCTATTTCAGCAGTTAATAAAAAACATAGAAAGTGTTCAGTACTTGTTCATGTAGCTAATTTTCCAAGCACAAATGTTCAAAGCCCAAAATATGCAGAAGCCCTGTTTCCATATGAAACAGAAGCAACATGCAGTTCACACATATTTTACCCCTGCAGTTAAGACAGCAAAATATATGTCCTGCATGCTAGGCACCTGTTTTAGCAGTCAACAAAAAACAGAAAAAGTGTTCCGTTCTTGTTCGAGCAGCTAAGTTGTCAAGTAAAATAAAAATATGAATGAAATACACTACAAATTGTATATTTTGTCTTTAAAATGCAATTCAAATCCGAAAGTAATAAAGATGGTAAACTGTAGTCGTGGGTGGCTGCGTCTATGGCTTGATAATTCACATTCTTCATCCTCCAATTTCTTGCAACAAATTTTAGTAATTACGAACGCCCCAAACTTACTAAAAGATTTTCAATAACCTTCTTGCAGGGTCCAAGAAGAACCAAACCATTTCAAGAACTCGCATTGCAAACATAATAGAACTAATTTAAATATGAAAACCCACAAATCACAATGCTCCTATCCAGTGAATCATCTTCATGGACCCCATCTTCTAAAATCGTAAAAGGCCTTTCTTTCTCCACTATTTGAATCTTACATTTCTTTTCTACTATTGATCTATGAAACCAAACTATCACTTAATTAAATCTCAAACACTTCCAACTAAATCTTAAATTAAATAGAGCTGTTCAATTATATTAAACTACACATATTAAACCACATATAGGGAGGGGGGAAGAGAGAAAAGAGAGAAAAGAGAGACCTGGAAATATCGGATCCTCAATACTGATGGGGCCATAATTCTGATTGGGTTTCAAAAGAGAAGTGTACACCAAATGCTATATCAGTGTTGTCGGATGCTGAAAAGTAACTGCAATCCAGGGAACCATTTCAAAGTTTCAAAAATTATAGAAAGAATCAGGGAAAATCTGTGATGGTGGAAAACATAAAAGCCAAACCAAAACTATAAACCTGTATTAGAGGTTTAATAAATCCAATGTTGAAACCCATTTAATAGTATTGTTCAAAACCTAAAAAAAGGATTGAACAGTCATGGTAGAGCGGAGGGAAAAGAAGAAGCAAGCCACTATAAAATTACAAGCACCGTCCAGCTGAGAACAAATATGTAATAAAAGTTGGCCACTTATTTGTAAGATGGAGAATATATTAAGGCATGTTCATGGATGCGGAGGCTAATGAATATTGTTAGATACTGGGTATGCATATCATTCATTTAGTAGATATAGAGGGTAGGAGAATGTAGTTTCAAAATTGAAGAAGACCACTTCCGAAGAAAAATATAATATAAATGTAAATTGCAAATATAAATCCAATTTTCAAACAAAATTCACTAATATAAATCTGAAATTTGAACTGTCTCCGTTTTCTATTAAAAGCCATTGTTTATCTTCTAGCCATCATACGTCTTAAACAATACCTTTTTATCAAAAAATTTAAAACCATTCATACTCATACCAATCAACTCTATCATGCTCAAACCAGTTCGGTCTAATACGTAACAAAAAAGTTGTACTTTATATTTACTATACCATGACTCCTTTTTCCCTTGGTGAAGTCAACATCGTCTCACCAACTGACCATTATTTTGCAACAGTTAAAATCTACCCCACGGGATCTTGCCACTGGTGGAGCAGCTTCTGCCACTGTAAAAAGCATCGCTTCCTCTCGCTCCATCCTTTACCAAATTGTTGGAACCGACGCTCATATCTAGTGGTTTAGGAGCTGATTGTTTTGCATTTTTTGCAACCCAGTCTTCCCTCATACCTGAAAGTTCCCAAGAAAGTTAAAAGCAGAAAGAAATAATAACCCATACATGCTCCACGTTGCACATAAAGCTCATAATTAATTTTAGAAAACAACTTACTTGGCACGAATAAATTTCTCAGTCCCACTTCTGTCAAAATTTGGTGGCAATTCTTTTTCCTAATAACTGTTTCCCTTTTCATTACTCATGACTACACAAAAGTACATAGAGAGTTAACTAACAGGATAATGAATCAGAACATAGTAGTTGGTGAGAAAAGATTAAAAACGCACGAAGCAAGAATGTGAACGCTGAACCCTAAACCCTATATGAATACTATTAGACCATTCCTAACATGCATAATAGTTTTGACAACATGAGGACATTGAGGACAAACTTCAACACTCATGAAATCTTATAAAATTGCATTGTTTGATAAGAATCAATTATGTTTGGTTCCTTCTTGTTGAGGGAGATGTTACAACCAACTCAGCTAGAGAGTCATTCCTACAACAACATCAGCCTATGCAAAATACGACATATGCACATACTATGCCATATATATATATATATATATATATATATTTTTTGTAGGCTGAGCTGATATGATATTTACCATGAGAAATTAAATGAAATTTAAATAAGCTTCAAAGAGAAGAGAAGGCAGCAGCTAATATCTTACCAGTTGATAAGGTACCCATGTTTAGACAGCAAGCAACACCATCTTTAAGATAGTTTGGCAGTTAACCAAATGGAATTCCCCATAATTTTGACAAAAACGGTAAGAAGAGACATATAAATAGTGCCTGTAATTCACATTTACAAAAGATATTGGCTTTCATTAGGTGAGCTCAATTTCAGGACACCAAAAATATAATTTGAAAGGCCATCAATTTGTATGCCTTTTTCAAGAATGCCTGACAGATTGGGGAAGCATAGAAGAGGAATAAAACATTATTAGGCATAAGCAACATGATGGAAACATTGCAGTACACATTGATATGCAAGGTGCAAGACACATGAGAACTGTTCTCCAAATATAGTCCTTACAAAGAGTTAATTAGACCGGTACAATGATACACAAAGAAAGACAAGAAAGAAGTGGGAGAACATTTATCGTCAAAGAAATTATGTGATAATCAACCATAGAATGCATTTCCCTGCATGTAGGCATTTCATTCAAGAAGGTAATTCATGCTCCTGCATGTTATCAAATGTTAATGAAACTGGAAAGACATAACGAATTAAAGTAATGCAACTTAACAAAAACAAAGACATCTGGGCTGTTCAAGAAATAAAATCAAAACATTACCTCAAGAGTTCGATGAAACCTAGATATATTGTCAAGGGCGATTCTGGGGGAATACTTGATATAGAAATATGGCTCAAATCCATGAAAACGGCACCAAACACTGTCCTAGGATGATGCGACAACTTATCAAAGTCAGAAAATGCATTATCTCAGTTTATATTAGTTTAGTTTAGTTTGGTAGCATATATGATCCCCGTGCAGCAACATAGAATACTTAGTAAAAGTTGCATTTCTGAGAACAAATAACCAACATGCTTGACTGAAAAAACAATGCAGATGCTTTAGTAATACAAAATTACAGTTTTATTTAGGTTTCTCAGTCACCAACCAAACATTGTCATAGCAGAAAAACAACCCTAAAAGAAATTATGAGCACAAACTAACCTTTCATTGTTAACATCACTAATTACTGTGTGAAGCTTAATTACCTAACTACTCCTTATATAAGTCCATATATATATATATATATATATATATATATATATCAGTATGATGTTTTCAGATAACCTACTAGGCATGATACAGACCCAGAGGTTATGGATGCACTGTTTAGTTTAGAGATTCGAACAAAACACATCTTCAACATAAAGATACTTAATATAAGCCGATAAAATTAGTAGTCTTTAATTGAAATCAAGCAAGATGGTATCTTCTCCAATATTCAATCACATATTCAATCTAAACAACATGGCTAATATTCATAACATTTTAAAATCCTCTTAGCAGCAGAACATAAACATAAAAATCCTACAGAAAGACAAAGCAGCATACCAGTTCTCTATCTTGTATGCTGTTTTCATGTGGATCTTCCTAACTCATCCCAAAAAAACCGTGCACATAGGTCACCTGCAAGCATCATCCCACAACCAAAAATTAGACAGAACCAAGGAATGCATAAGGAACCCAGAAATGGGAAAAAAAATCAACCAACAGAGGAATGAGAAGCAAACACCAGAAAATTTTGAAGAAGCACAGAAATGAGCACGGTGAAACCCAAAAATCGAATGATGATTCTAACAAAGCAAAAGGAAAACAAAACAATAAACAATTATTTTGAAACGGTGCATAACCTATTGAATCAGAGGGAAAAACCGAAAACCCATACCCTGCCATATACCCCTCTGACTCTCTCCTGACTGACCCTGCGCACTAACCCATTAATTAATCCCAAAAAATGCACACAGCCATGCTTTCTCCTCTCTGTCTATCTCTATCTCCCTATCCATCTCTCTCTATAAAATCACAAATCCCCCAAAACCGGACCTAACGTACTAAACAATCAGAAAATCCAAGGCAACATTAAAGAATACAATTTAAAAAAGAAACTTATCTTTGGATTTGAGGCATGCAGCGCAAGATCCGGCACACTCCACTCTCAGTAGGGTTTGTTGATGACCCCTACCCGTCTCCCTGAAATCCCGACGACCCATGTGGTCTTCTCTGACCATACCCACCCTCCCATCTGCATCAACAGTGCCGAGACCCCTACCCCTCCCCCTCGCTCTCCTTCCATCGCCATCTCTCTCTCTCTCTCCCCCTTCCCTCGCAGACCCTCCCCGAAACCCTAATTGAACAGCAGCAAATGATAACTGCCCGCTGACCTCCTATCTCGCCCAAAACCGAGAGGACAAAATTGACCTTCACAATAGACCATCTCCACCATTGGATTGTAACCTTTGATGGCAAAAACGTAATTAAATAATTTGGACCTTACTGAGGGTCGGGCTTCCCAGCTAAGAGCAACTCAGAGCCCTTCCCCAGGCTATTCACTATTCAATCCACCTGATAAACAGTAACTGCCTTTAATGAACAGTAATCGCCTTTTGCATCTCTACAGTTACACTTCAATAACCTTGGCAATAGACAATAAAATATTAGTATTTTTTTATTTATAAAATAATACAAAATAATTTTTAATTTTTTTCCTTTTTTTTCCCTATTCCTAATCCTTTTCATTTTCATTTTTTTTTCCTATTCCTTAACCATTTCATTTGACCGTTTCTTCACCTACCCTCTGTCTCATTTCCAATCTCACATGTTGATGCCCTATCTTAATGGTTGTCATGAAATCATAACAAATAACATCACAAAAAGCCAACAAGTGGCAAAATTAAAAAAAAAAAAAAAAAAAAAAAAAAAGGAAAATTTGATCTCTCATCTGCCCCTCAACCAGAAAACGAGAGAAAGGAACCTAGAAGCTCTTCTCTCTTTCTCTAGCAAGAAGCAAGCCATAGTTGATGGCTGTCAAGATACGATATCAACTGGTATGTCATTGATCCTCACTTTTTTTTTTCTCTCTCTCTCCCTCTCTCTCTCTCTCTCTTCCTCTCAACCGATGCAACCTTTCTCTCTCATTTCTGAAACCTCTCTTTCTCTCTACAGCTCCGAGAGCTCTCTCCTTCCTCTTCTTCGAAACCAAAGCAAATCAAACTAACAAACTTTGAAATCTCAATCCCCTTGATGAGAGGAACTCGAATATATCCTTGCATGCATCATCAGAGCACCATTTGGGTGATCCACCATTGAAGCCGAGGGCTTCAAGCTTCCATTGCTCAAACCCAAATGAGGTTATTGCCCTACTTCAATTGCTTGAGTTATTCTCTGGTTTTTTTTTTCTTTCTTGTTTGATTTCTTGTTTAATTTAATTTTTTGAAATTGATTATGCATAGTTGATGTTTTTCGTTCGAATTGAGGGTTTCGGATGGGGAGATGTCAAGCTCAGCACATGCACTGATGCTGCACATCAGCCATACGTCACACAGCCCTCAGGCTCTCGGGCGAGCAATTCCTGCCGGGCCTCTCCCTCGGGCCTGCTCGGGCTCCCTCGCCGGCACACGCTGGACCACCTCCCTCGAGCTATCTGGCCCTGTTTGAGAGCCAGTCCATCGGGCTATTGCCCACGGTGGAACTGCTCTAAGGCCAACGCATCGGGCTGATGACCCAAAACCAACAGAAATACCAATGGCATGGTTGTAATTAATCTAAAATTCATATCAAAACACTATTCATTTCTACAGTACCAATTCCAAACCTTTCTTTAGACTAAAGTAATGTCACAATATGTGGTTTAGCCTAATCAAACAAAAACAACAGACGTAATTAAACAAGAGTGTGCCACTGAAGAAATTTTTCAGGTGTTCAATAATTAAGTGGGTACTTCATGTGCCATAAAATAAGTAAAACAATACTAAAAATATATTATTTTCTCCAATTGCAGTATTTTCCAAAAGAGATGTCAAAAATCATACGTGGACTGTTTTGACAAAAAAAATGTGGTTTTTTTATTCCAAATGAAATGCCAAAATTCTACATGAAATGTCATTCTCCACTTTGCTCCCAATTTTGAAGCCAACGTCAAAACCTTTTTCTTTTATTTTTAATGTTGAGTCCACATATTTCTTTATTTTTATTCGCTTATTAATTATTTTATTATTAAACTATGACCCACTTAATTTATAAATAACTAGAAAATATTTTAATTTGACATTTCTATTCGATTGTGAAACTTTACAAAATATTATTATATTATTGGCATTTGGATTAATCAGAGGTATTCGGATCTTTCCTTCTCTCTCCAATTGGTTTCCATGTAATAATTGTCCTAAAATTTCAATAGGGCATTTCTGCTCACCACTTTCAAATGGTGGTAATGCTCGCCACCCTATTTATCACAGTTAGATTTGTTTGAATTTTAAGATTTGTGCATGTCCACTACACGAATTTCGAAATTCAAACTCATCTAACGATGATAAATATGGTGGTTTGCATTACCACCACTTGAAGGTGGTGAACAAAATGTGAACAAAATGCTCCCAAATTTGAATCACTGGGTTTGTCTTTCCGTTTTTTTCCCAAAAAATGAAAGAAAAAAAAAATTAAGTTGAAGTTTTAACATATCTAACACAATTATAACATAAGCATTATCTATTCTAAAACTAAGGAGGGATTTATGTAACAACCCTCCCGGAATTTACGAAACAGAAGGGCATTTTCGTAATTTCACTAGTTGGGTTAGATATTTTGAAATGTTATGTTTTAGGTCTTAATTGGTGTGCCAAGGGGCCCACCCTTTTTGGTTGTCTCCGGGCCCACTCTCTCCTTTTTCTCTTTTCCCTCCTCCTTCTTCCTGTGGACCACATCAATCTCTTCTCTTTTCTCTTCTCTCTTTTCTCTCATCACTCTCTCTAACCTCTCTCTCTCTCTAGGAAAGCACACAAACACAACAACAACAGCAGCTGTTGCACACCACCATCCCTCACCCTCTATGTGAACCCCACGAACCCAGAAACGGCGAGGGAACTCATCCCCAGTTTTCCCGCGAGACTCGTGTGTTTGCAGGTATTTTCTGGCCATCTCCGACCACCTTTTAGCTTCCAAATAATAATATTTCTTTCGTCTTAAGCTTCATCTTGACATATTATGGGTCCGATTTGGCTAAGAAATGAGGAAGTTATAACCTTTCAAAATTTACCTAGTTTCTGACGACCTCTACCACTTTCGAAGCGATTTTCGACCAAACCATGGCAAGTTAGCCGCCGTGCAAGGTACATTTCTCTTCATCTCATTGAGTACTACAACTTTGGTTTTTGAATCACTCAATTTGGTTAAGTATCAAAGAAGTTATAAATGTTTGAAGTTGTGCCCATAAATCGGCCAAACTTTGGCCTGAAACCTAGTCGACCAAATCCTCCCAACCTAGATCCAAACCTAGGTTGGAACCTGACCCAACCTTGAAGCCTAACCCAGATCCCTTGGGCTAAGCTGCCAAGCCCAAACCCTAGCCCAAGCCCAATTGCCCAAGCCTAAACCTACTAAGCCTAAACCCAAACCCAAGCCTAAACCCAAACCCAAGCCCAAACCCAAGACCCAGACCTATTGACTTTGACCCGACCTTTTGACTTTGGGTTGCCTTTTCCGGGTTTCGGTTGGGAACCCTCCTAGACTAAGTTTGACGTCCTGAATTCGTTTTCAAAGTCCGTTTTCCCAAATTCAATCATTTTAGTGGTGTTTTATTAATTGGACCCTTTATGTGCTTAGGTGCATTTATTGTGGTGTTTCTGTATTCGTTAGTTGCACGGCTCTTCGATGACGAAGTATTTATGAGTGGACCCCTTCTAAAATGCATGATTTTACTATTAGAAATGCATACATGAAAGGTATGATTTAATGGTTACATTTTGTAAAAGATTTATGAGTAAATTAGATTTACGGTTATTGATATATCATGCTTTACTGAGAATATTTTGGAATACCATACTTTATCGATTTTTACGTTCTTTGTAGCATATATGATTAATGGCTATATACTATGAAGATGTTTTAAGATATGATGTTTGAGCTACTGAGCTTCATTGAGATATATGTACTTATGTTTGGAAATATTTTGTTCAATGAGTTTTGTGCTTATCTAGTGGTCACTGTTTTGCTTACAGGCGATGATACTTATATTGGCTTCGGCTGGGGGTTGTAGTGCCTACGGGTGGAAGATATTTATATGGCTTCGGTCGGAAGAGTTTTATATGCCTTCAGGCGGGAGATGATACCATTATTTAGCACACCATATATGATATATGTTTTATGAAGTTTTATGGCATGCTAGGGTTTTTGGAAAACCTATTACTTAATATGCTATATGAGTTTTCATAAACTTTGGAGGTTAGTACATTGTTGAATAACTATGTTAATTATATACCAACTTGGTCCACTCATGTTTTACTTTGCACCCTCTCGGGACTTAGAATCGAGGTGTATTGTCACTTGATTTTGTCTTATATACACTACTGCCACCAAATTTGTGGCTAGGTTGGGGTTTGGGCTGCTCCTATTTTTTTCATAGGCTTCGTTGATTTCAGGTAAAAGCCCAGTGCTCAGTTGGTCAATGACATTTTTGCCCATCAAAGGTTAAAATCTGAAGCTAGGGGTGATGTGTTGGGAATGGCAATTTTGTCCTCTGCGTTTTGAGTGAATTGGGGGTAGGTTTGGTTTCATTGTCATTCGACGAGGATTTCGAGGTGGAAAAGGATCCTCGCCAGATCTTTTTCATGGGAATCCCATGATCGTGTCCGTTCATCGTACATCGTGCAATCAAAAATCATTTGAAATTCAAAATTATTAAATATAAATAATACTTAACGAAAACTGACTATATGATGTACGATGAATGAACACGGTCATGACATCCCCCCGAATCTCTGAGGTAGAGATAGACAGACAGACAGAAAGATCGCGATAGAGGAAGGATTTGTGCGATTTACAGAGAGAAAGATTGAGGTCTGTTGAAGAGAGAGAGTTATGGTCCAATTCTGTAAAGATGGAAATGCAATGGGACAAAGTAGTTTTAGTATGGAAATATAATAAGTTGGGGTTTAATAGCATTTTAGTAAGTTGAGGGGATAATTTTAATATGCTTGTTTGTATTGCTGAGTCAGCACTCACATGCTTTGTGAGTTTGTTATAAGCCCTCAAACTTGGAGGTAACGGTTAGAAATGAAAAAGAATTGAATTCTCCCTCTCTCCCTCCCTCTCTCTCTTTCTCTATAATCCTCCATTTCTCTGTAAGTCCTACATAATTTAGCACCATCTCAACTACATGATTTGCAACTTCTCATTGCAAACTTTGAAGACTTGTTTGGAATACTCTTTCAGCTACCTCATTCAAGGCTGCATGATCACCATATTCCATTGGTGTATGGTGCTAAACCTCCAAACATATGGCCTTATCATTATGGTTCCTTGCAAAAGAATGAAATTGAGAAGGCTGTCCAAGAATTGCTTACTAGAGGGTTTATTCGACCAAGTCACAACCGTTTTTCATTTCCTGTCCTTTTGGTGAAGAAGAATGAAGGAACTTGGCGCATGTGCATTGATTATAGAGAACTCAATACACTGACCCTCAAGGATAAATATCTTATTCCTTTGATTGATGACTTACTTGATGAGCTTTATGGTGCTACCCATTTCTCTAAGCTTGATCTTAGGTCGGGATACCACCAGATTCTAATACACTAGATTCTAAGCTTGTTCAAGCCTCACGTGAGAAAATTTGTCTTGGTGTTCTTTGACGATTTGCTGATCTATAGTAAAAGTTGGGAGGAACATATGCAACATCTTAAGACTGTTTTCCAAATTCTGCAACTCAACCAACTATTCCTCAAGAAATCTAAATGTTCTCTGGGCCAAAGAAGGGCAGAGTACTTGGGGCATATAGTCTCTAGTGATGGAGTGGAAGTTGATCCAGCTAAATTACAACAATCAAGGAATGACCTATACCATAGACAATCAAGTAATTGAGGGGGATCCTTGGATTGACAGGTTACTACAGGAAGTTCATACCTGGCTATAGTAGTATATGTCAACCTTTGTATAATCTCACAAAGAATGATGGATTTCAATGGAATAGTGAAGCCACTGCAACTTTTGAAAAGCTTAAGTTTACCATAGCCTCTCCACAAGTGTTAACTTTACCAGACTTCACTAAAACTTTTGAGAATGAGTGTAATGCCTCAGGGGAAGGAATAAGTGTTATGCTACAACAGGATAAGAGGCCAATTGCATTTGCTAGCCAGACATTAGAACCAAGGAACCAAGCCTTGTCTGCTTATGAGAAGGAATTAATTGCAATTGTTTATGCAGTTAAAAAGTGGCAGAATTATCTTTAAGGTAGGTACTTTGTGATTAGAACTGACCACCATAGTCTCAAATATTTCTTAAGTCAAAAAGCTAGCACTCCCTTCCAACAAAAATGGGTCTCTAAGCTCTTTGGGTTCGATTATGAGATACACTATAAGGCTCGACATGAGTATGTGGTAGTTGATGCATTGTCCAAAATGCAAGGAATGTCCACAAGAAAAGACTTGGGTGCCATTTCCTTATTGGAGAAGACTTGGGTGCCATTTCCTTATTGGAGTGTTTCTATATTTCTTATCCTTATGGAGGCTGGTTAGATGACATTCGGAGGTACAATGAGAAGGATGAGTAGGTTATACAGAGGACTAGATAAGTGTTGGATAGTTGAACTTCTACCAATGGTAATTCACCACTTACTAAGTTCTCTTTTGTGAATGGTTTCCTGTGCTATAAAGGGAGAATAATGTTGAGTCCAGATTATGAATGGAAGAGTAAGATCATGGCTGAGTTCCACTCCACTCCTGCTGGTGGTCATCAAGGGGTTTTAAAATGCTATCAAAGGTTGAAGAAGAAATTTTATTGGCAGGGTATGAAGAAAGACGTAAAGCATTTTATCTCTAATTGTCACATTTGCCAACAATAAAAGTATGAAACCACTTATCCAGCTGGTTTATTGCAGCCTCTACCCATTCCCACTAAAGTCTGGACCGATATAAGTATGGACTTCATAAGTGGATTACCTCCTTGCAAGGGTAAATCAGTGATTATGGTGGTTGTTGATCGATTATCTAAGTATGCACACTTTGTAGCCCTCTCTTATCGCTATAGTGCTGCTGGTGTTGCATAGTTGTTTGTGGACCATATTTTCAAGCTGTATAGTATGCCACAAACTATTATGAGTGACAGGGATCCTATCTTTTTGAGTGCTTTCTGGAAAGATTTTTTTTCAACTGCAGAATTCTAAACTGTGTATAAGTTCGGGGTATCACCCCCAAAGTGATGCCCAAACTAAAGTGCTCAATAGGTGCTTGGAGACCTATCTCAGGTGCTTTGTAAGGGGGACAACCTCAAAATTGGGTGAAGTGGCTTGCTTGGGTAGAGAGGTGTTTCAACACCTCTTACCACATAACTACTAAGACTACCCTTTTGAATTGGTTTATGGCTATCCACCTCCCCATTTGGCAGCTTATGAGTTGGGCACTACTCGAGTTGACTTAGTTGAACAAAGCCTACTTGAAAGGGATAAAATGCTAAATGTCCTTAAATCCAATCTGGAGTTAGCTCAGAATCGTATAAAGGTTCAAGTGGACAAAAAGAGGTGCGAAATGCAGTTTGGAGTTGGGGAATTGGTCTATTAGAAGTTGGTCCCTTATTAGCTACAATCATTGGTGCCACATAGCTATCATAAACTGCAACCTAAATACTATGGTCCCTATGAAGTGATGGAGAAAATCAGAGAAATGGATTATAAACTCAAACTACCTAAGGGCAGCAAAATTCACCCGGTGTTTCATGTGAGTTATCTTAAGAAGCAAGTGGGAACTGACATTGTAGTGCAGCCAACATTACCTTACCCCTTGGAAGATGGATTAGCACAACATGTACCTGAAGGAATTCTAGCTCGAAGAGTTTATAAGAAAGGCAAGGCAGTTGGAGTCCAATTGTTAACAATGGCTTGGTAGGAAAACAACTAAGGCTACTTGGGAGGACTTTGATGAGTTTCATTCAAAATTTCCAGATTTTCACTTTGAGACCTTGTGGACAAGGTTCTTGAAGGAGAGGGCATTGTTATGATCCAATTCTGTAAGGATGAAAAATGCAATGGGACAAAGTCGTTTTAGTGTGGAAATATAATAGGTTGGGGTTTAGTAGTATTTTAGTAAGTTGAGGGGATAGTTTTAGTATGCTTGTTTGTATTGCTGAGTCCACTCACATGCTTTATGAGCTTGTTATAAGCCCTCGAATGTGGAGGCAACGGTTATAAATGAAAAAGAATTGAATACTCCCTCTCTCCCTCACGCCCTCTATCTTTCTCTGTAATCCTCCATTACTCAGGTCAAGGTCGAACCCAAATTTTGGGTGCTAACAGAGAGATAATATAGGAGGATTTCTGCAAGTGATTTTAGGGATTTGCAGAGTGAGAGATAGGACAACGGGCGATAAAGAGAGAGGTGTAGGTTGAGGTGCGGGTTTAGGGTTGGTTATTTCCGCACATAACAAACCCTAATCCCCTTTTTAGTAAATTGAATTAGTACTAGCTGAACAGGAGTTACTCTCTGCAACTCTTCTCCCACAGGCCTGAACCTCAACTATGGAGAGAAGCTTGCTTCTCTTCTTCTCCCCATTTAAAACCCCATCTCTCTTTCTCCTCTTCTTCTTCTTCCTCAAAACTGAATTAGTTTTATTTTTTTTATTTTTTTTATCCCACTTGCTCAAAACTGAATTTTTTGTTGTGTGAATATATATGTGAACATATAATATCAGCATTTCGAGTGAATCGAATTCATTTCAAATTTTCTTAAATTTATTGATTGTCAGATGACATAGTTAACAGCTTCTGTGTTTTAAAACAATTGAATGTGAGATTTACATAATTAAATAGTCAATTGGAAAATTGAAATGAGATGTTAGTTTTACCTTACTGATTTCTTTGTTGGGTTTATTACTGCTCAATGTTAAAACCTGACAATTGTTTTTGGGCAAGTGGTGATCGGCCCGCCTGGGTTAGGAAAGACCACTTACTACAATGGCATGTCTGAGTTCCTCCAGCTCATCAGAAAGTAGAAAATTTCACTCTGAATTCTAGGTTTTCAAGTTTTTCCATGGCTTCAATTTTGGTTTTTGAATCTGCCTGAAATATTTACAATGGCAATTTGTTGTTTTGGTATGCAAAAAAGTTGTTGTGGTAAATCTGGATCATGCCACCGATGGATTGCCGTATCCTTTTCGGGGTTTTATGTTTTTCATGTTTGTTGTTTGTAATTTGTAATGTTGCATTGCATTCCAATGTCGAATGTTGAGGGTAATAAAGTAGAGCTACTGGTCCACCTTCTTTCATTTGGTGCTTTCAACATTGAATTTTTTAACCCTACTCATTCCGCTTAGTTTTTATTTGATTTGGATTTTGCAGTTCAAAGCCGATTTGGGGATTTTGAAATGCTGGACGCTGGGCCAGTTACGCCACAACAGGTACTTCAATTTCAATGCCAAGACTCTGCATTTCTTTTCCGTAATTTTGATCTTCTACTGATTTTGATTGAATTCCAAGAAATTTTTTATTTGCTTAGTTTAATTTGTAGTTGTTCAATTGTTATGAAGATTTGTGACTGTATGAATTATTGGTTTCTGATTTTTGTTGAACAATATGAAATTGCTTTGTGTTTTAAGTTCTTGATCCGAAGAAAGTTGCGATATTTCGTAATGGCATTGCTGTTTGTAGTGGTTGTTCAGATTACCGTGTCATTTTATTTATGAACACTAAGTATTTGATGATTTGCTTCTGAAATGAAATATTTGTTTATGCACACCAAGTGTTTGATGATTTGCTTCTGAAATGAAAATGAATCAGAACCATGGAGGATGATATCATAGTGGATCCAGTGGAGTCTCCAGAGATTGTTGATGATCCATACCAAACTATGTGAGTTTTCAAGGTACATAATCACTCACCATATCCTTTTCCACTTACTAGGATTTTTTTAATTTGAACTTTTTTCTTCAGTTTGATTCAAATTAATTTTTTTTATTTTCCTTTAAATAATTTGGAATTAGGCCTTTTATTTTGTGCGTTTTCTCTGTTACTTCATCCTCAGTTGAAAAGTGGAAGTCCGAACTTTTAGCTCAGAGGAAAACCCTTGGTTGAATCAAATACTGGTATGGTCCCTCACATGAGAAAAAAACTTCCAAATTTTTTTTCCTTAAAATTTTTGTTTTTGTTAATTTTTTTTCTTTCCACAAATTGTAGTTTTTCTTTCTTGCATTTGTCTGCTACCCTCCACAATGAACGACCTGCTAAAGCTAATGTATTTGGTTTGAAAAGAACAAGACTAATTTTGTCATTAGTATCTGCATTTTCACATCAATGTAAACTGACTGATGCAGAAGAGCTAGCCAATTTAACATCAGCGGATATGAGGGAATCTGATTTCAGTGGTTCAACTTTCAATGGTGCGTACATGGAGAAAGCTGTCACATATAAGGCAAACTTTGACGTAAGAACTTCACACTGTACAAATAGATACTAAAAGGTGAATGAAGCATAAATAGCTTTGGCTACCTATCCTCCAGTATATATCATGGGATCACCCAAAAGACAAAAACCCACCTTCATTGTCAGTTCATTTCCATACAAGTCATCCCGGATTGTTAAGCATTTAGGCCATGCTTAATATGAAGGATTAGATTACACTTGAAGGATTAAGAAGGGGTTGATGTCTAAAGTGTATCCCTAATCTTATCCCCACTAATCCCTTTAAAAATTGTAAGCAGACATATTGAAATTTATGTATATAAACTTTTTTATAAGAACAAATGCAAATTAGAATCATACCTGGGTCAACATACTGGTAGTATATAATTGAACGACGCTAAAGGTTAATTATGAACTTAGACTATGTGCCGAAAGAAAGTTGCTCATTACTTGCGTTTAATTTATTTTGTTTGTTCAGGGAAGAGCACGGTGGCGTGTGCTTTGGGTGGGAGTTTGTACCGCAGGGGAAGCTGTCGTACATTCTTGATGGGGACAATGTCAGGCATGGCTTGAATTGCGACCTTGGTTTTAAAGCAGAACATAGTGCAGAGAACATTGGTAGGATTGGTATGTATGTGTATGCCTCTATTTAGATTAACCAAACCCTCTTTTTAGATTAACTATGGCTTTCTGCTTCATTATGTGTTCATGAAACTAATCTCTGCAGTTCTTCAATTCATCTGGGGTATTTGTGATTTTGAACAACACTAAAATTATTTATGGGTTATAGGAACCACGGGTTAGGAAAATGGGTCCAAATTCAAAGCTGCATTTTCTTCCTTCAAAATAAGAAGAAAAAACTTCCTCAGCTCCATATTTCAGCACCTCAGGTATATTTGTGTTCTAAAGCCTTCTATTTCTTTCTGTTTCTTCAGAGCTATTATTTTACCCATATGTTATTTGTATAGTGAAAGATTGGATTTCATATGCCTCAGTACTTATGGTTTTGTACAATACAAACTTGAGCTTATTGATCCAAGTGGCTAGAACAGTATACTCAACCAATTTCATATCCTCTTGGCCGAATGAGATTATAATTCTTGCCACTAAGAAAATTACTTCATATAATAGCAATGTGTTGGTGTGTGGCATGCTCTAATTAGGGATACTTTTGGGTTATAAGAAAGCCAGAGAGAGAGAGAGAGAGAGCGTCACATATTTGTTTTTTTGGATTTGGTTAATGTTTCAATCGTAAAGGTGATTACGGAATGAAAGCTGAGGATACACTGACACGCCCCAACCCCGATATCCCTAAATATCAAGATAGGCACGTGTTAGCCGACACCTAATGGTGACGAAGTCATTAAAAACATGCATACAGATAAAATATGTAATTAGAAGGAGATACACTAGCGTAGAATCGTGTTCAGAGCATACAATTAGTGAAGAATAATATGAAGGAATTATAATAAAAAGGGTACGAACCAAGGAATGGAACCTACATAGAGGAGTCTCGAAGATGCCTAAGCGAAAATGCCCTGATTTTGGGATTGAGTGCCTCGAATCTAACTCCTATGGGGGTGCAAAAACAGAAAAGGTGAGTGGACCAAAGTTTATAATAATAATAATAAGAAAACCATTTTCTTTATGAACATACTAACCTTTTGTTTTGAAAACATATATAATACTATATAATAGGTTTTTTTGAAAACCCTAGCATGCCATGAAATCATTCATAAAATAAATATGAGTAAAATCATGCTTAATAACGGTGCAATCATCGCCCAAAGGCAAATCCATAAATCTCATCAATATTGTACTCTCTAAGAGTATCATAGTCGTCCAAAGGTAGTACCTGTCCCTCACCAAAGGTGAAGCTGTACGACACTGAGTTAAGCCAGTGAAGAAACATGGGAGGCCCCATCACCTGAAGGTGAAGTTGTACAACTCCGGTTACGTCGGAAAAGAAATATATAGCACCACACACCAAGACTAGCCGTGGCTAGTGAAGCTATCCGACACTACTTTTGCCAGTGAAGCTGGGGGTATATCATATATCATATCTTACTCCTCATCAACTGTGTCCTATGGCCTTAGACGTCATAATACTCATGTTGTGTGGATGTGTTGTATGATAGCCTGATAGATAGCACTGAAAACATATCTCAAAAGCTCTCATCAAATCCAGAGCTCAAAAGCTCAAAGCCTCAACACATAAATCCATGATAATTCACATTTGTAAATTCATAGAATTCCATAGATGAAAATCCCATAATTCATAACTCATATTCGGAAATCGTAATATAAATCATATTCATAATCCATAGAGTTTCATATATTAAAATCTAATAATTCATAACCTTTCGTAAAACTCAAGTGTGATAAATCATAAATATCTCATAAACTGTAAATATAGAAATCTGGAAAATAATATATAAAACATATTCAAATCATGAAGTGTGAAATGCATGCTAGGCTAATATTTTATAAAAATATGTAAGTTTAGAAGGGGTTCACTCACATATATTTTGTTGCCCATGAATCGCTCGAGCTAGCGAGGATTGAGTCATTTTCCACAGATACACCTAACCACAATTAGGGACCATTTAGTAAAACTCTACACAAACGTTAGAATTTGGGAAAACAAACGGCGGATTTGGATTCGGCACGTTGAAAAACCTAAGGTGGGACCTCAGGTTTCCCCCCATGCGCTGCCACGAGGTGGTGGCCTAGAAGGCCACGCACCGCTGCACATGGCGGCTGACAGCCCCGACTCGCCGGAAAATTCAACAACTCCAAACATTCCCAAATTTTACAAGAATGAAGATCTCAATGAGAGGAACAACTTTCATACAGGGGCCGAAGTCCAATTCGGCCAAGAAGTGGCTTGAAAATGCCTCAAAAAGGCTGGGTGGCTGGAAATTGAGAACCTCGTCGATCCTTTGTCAGAGGTCCGATGATTGTGATTCCGGTCAAGTTTTACTCCTTAAAGGGAAGGCTGCCAACCCTAGGTGGTGCGCCACATTGATTGATGCTGGAAAGATTGATCTCCATTTTAGGGTTCGCGAGGAGCACCGAGTTTCTCGTGCTTAAATCTTCATAAATAGTGATCAAAAGGTGGAATTAAAGGTAATGGTTCGACTGGGTTCATGGTACCAGTCCCGTCGTCAACGGTGGCCGAAATAGGGAGATAAGGTCAAGTCGGGTTAGCGGGTCAAAGAGAGGTTCGAATTCCCTCATTCTCTCATCCCTTTATTTCCCCTCCTTGCTCTTTCATCTGATTGGTCAGTCTTTCTTCTCCTATTTCCCGATTGGGCAGCACTCCCTTCCTTCTCTCCTCATCTTTCCATCACAACCACATACATGGCTCCATCTCCTTGCTCTAGCAAAATCTGGAGCCTTCCAGATTTATGGTCAAATGACCATTTTGCCCATAACTTTGTTCGCCTAACTTCTTCGTTATAACTCCAAATTACGTTCCGCTTGCACCCACACATCCGTAATGCTGAGTACTATAAGAATATGCCAAGGAAATGGATCTTAGGTGACATGACAAGATGGTCAACAAAAGTCAACACATTAGCCTCGAAGGGCTAATTTCACATTTTAAAATTATAAAAACCATAATAATTGAGGGCGGTCGTTACGTACACAAAGGATATGTGTAGTTTGGAATTTGTAAGTTACAAGCTTTGGGAAAGTAAGCATTTGTAGTTGTCTAATGACATGGTCAAAGAGTTGTCCACCTAATAGTTTACTCTACAATGGCTGTCAACGGATATTGTAGTCTCATTCCGTGGGAGAAATTTCAAAGTAAGATGTTAATGTCTGAAACAAGCCTATGTTGAAATTTATTTCACTGTTTTGTTTTTCGTATGAAATATTTATTGTTGAAATTTTGTTGGTGCTTTGTTTTATAAAAGATTCAGGATGGGGATTATTTAACTTTCATTGATTGGCATCGTTTAAAGATTTGTTTGTGCTTTTGTTTATAGGATCAACTTGGGAAAGAACAAAGGAGAGCACAAGCATTATCAATTTATTTGCTATAGTATTGCAGGCTTGCAGCTATCTGCACGACTCCAACAAGCCACACCAGCTTATAATGGGCTTGCACACATGTAAGGCTCCCTCTTCCTCTTTCCCTCTTTCCCATTTTTTTCTTACAAGTTTCGAGTTAACATCAATTTGTACATCAATGAAATAGGAGTAGCTAGATTTTGAGCAACTCCTTATATGTATGTAGAGTTGTCAACAACTATTATATACTTTATATAAAAACTTTGTACATGTTTTTTATAAATAATTTTTGGGTAAATTACACTTTCATACCTCAGGTTTGGGGTCTATTTCAATTCCTTACAACATCTTCAAAACATTTCACTTTCATACCTTAAGTATTATTTTATTTCAAAATAATACATCCGTTACATTTTCCATCCATTGATCCGTTAAGTGCTGACGTTGCCGCCACATATATGCCAAGTGGTTGCCAAATGTCTGCCACGTGGCAAAAAAAAAATGATTTTTTAGTTTCTTTTTAAAAAACCTGAATTTTCTCAAAAAAAAAAAAAAAAGCAAAAATTTGAAACCCATCCCTAAACCTGCAAGAAGAGGAAGAGGAAGAGGAAGAAGGAGGGGAAAAAAAATAGTGCTTGAACCTGCCTCCACCCCAACCCACCCCCCCCCCCCCAACAACGTGAATCCACCCAAACCATGACCTCCATATTTTTGAGATTTTCAGTGTGGGTAAGTTTCGAAAATACTTTGAGATGGAGAGTTTGAGTTTGAGATGATTGTTGGACTGATTTTGTGGTAGATCCACCTAATATTGGGTGGGATTTTTGGGGGTGGGTGATGAGGGACTTTTTGGGAGGGGTGAAGGGGGATGGAAGAAAGGGGTGGCTTAGGTGGGATTTTGGGGTGGGTGATGATGGATGGGAGAAGGGGGTGGGTCGGGGAAGACGATTTTTGGGTTTTTTTTTTTTTTTTTTTTTTAAGTTTTCCCTCATCTTCTTCTTTTTCTTTTCTTCTTCTTCTAGGTTGTAGGTTTTTGGGGGTGGGGACGGGGGAGGAGGGGGACGAACTGGGTTTGACCTTTTTTTTTCTCTCCTTTTCTTCTTCTTCTTCTTCTTCTTCTTCGTCTTGTTGTTGCTGCTGCAGGTTCAGGGATGTGGGGGTGGTTGTGGGGAGATGGGATGGGATGGGTTTCATTTTTTTTTTTCTTTTTTCCCTCCCTTCTTCTTCTTGCAAGTTTAGGGATGTAAGGGGTGCAAGTTTAGTGATGGGTTTCAAATAATTTTTTTTTTAAAGAAAATTCAGGCTTTTTAAAAAGAAATTAATTTTATTTTTTTGGCCACGTGGCAAACATTTGGCAGTTACGTGTCATATATGTGGCAACCACGTTAGCACTTAACAGATCAATGAATGGAAAATGTAACGGATGTATTATTTTGAAATAAAATAGTACTTAAGGTATGAAAGTGAAATGTTTTGAAGATGTTGTAAGGAATTGAAATAGACCTTAAACCTGAGGTATGAAAGTATAATTTGCCCATAATTTTTACGTAATTACGCACAATGGTTACAACACATTTAATTCCCCATTCTAACACATATACAATGCTTATAATCCATTTGGCTTTCCTGCGGCAACACACTGGCTAAATCTCTAGTTCCAACTAGAATCAAAGACATCTAGTTGATTGAGAATTGTAAAATTGTTGTACTCTCTTTTCAAAGGAATGAAATGAAATGAACATTTTATCGTCTCAAGTTGTGTTCCTCTTTCCGATTTTCTGTTCAATTCATTCAATTTTCTCCGTTTGTGTAGTCAGACTCATATATATATTTCTGGGTTTTTGTGTTGTCGCAAAATTATCCGAGTGTGTAGTCACGTGACCTTCTCAAACCATATTCTTTCTACAATTTCCTTGAATAAAGATTGATGAAAAAGTATGAAATACTTGTAATTATTTAGGGTCGGTTTGGTATGCTATTTGAAAATTTTTATCGTTTCTCAAAATATTTTTTGAAAACAATTCTCTTTAAGACTAAAAAACTTGATTGGTTT